TGTTTTTTCCGTCGTCTTCTTCTTCTCCGGCTGTCCAGCTATCCTCTTTCCGGTGAATTTGCAGCTTATCCGGCGAAGTAATGGGGGAGAAAGAAAAGTGATGTAAAAAGATTAAAATATCCTCTGAACTATTAAAATTTTTTGGCGAAATTTGGCTGGCAAATTGATCGGAGTGATCAAAATTGATAAAAATTACATAGTTAAGGTACTAAATTAACACTTTTAAAAGTCGTGGACTGAAATTAACAGAACCCATATAGTCACATGACCAAAATTGAAATTTACTCTTTGGACAATTTAGACAATGACTATCGAATTTTTTTCAATATTGATCCTTTCGTCACATAAGATTAAATGGACGTTAAATGAAGAGATAAGGTAGTCATTTCAAGTGCTTAGTGTATAATTCCTCGTCTTTCTCCCTCCCAATAATGCATATGATAATTGAAGGCACTACAAATAGTGAATCACATGCACAAAATGCAACCTTTTGGATGGTGTTCAAGGGGTTGTTCAAGAAGGCGGCGGAACTCGGCAGCCTCTTCCCCGAAGTTCGAATCACTACCGTTGTCTTTCTCTCCTACAAAAAACCCATACAATTTTGTGATGTTTCGGAAATGGAGAAGCTGTTGGCTATGGAGGAATCAAGAAATGCACGATTAAGATCTGAAGAACTCATTTTCTTAAATTTAAAAGTATGTATGCAATTTTACAAGGTTGAAAAAATCGCTAGGTGCCCTCTAGGCGCGTGGGGACCGTCTAGGACGCCTAGAGCGCCTAGGCGAGCGTCTAGATTGATTAATTGCCGCCTAGAGCACCTAGGCTCAATTTTTACAACAGTGCAATTTTACAAAGAATTGCGTTGACAAATTAACTAGATGTCAAGAACTTTAAGAAAGAACGTGTTAAACTGCTCCACACATATATATCCTTATATAAATTTATCTTTTCCCTATAGATTATAATATATATACTAGTTATGTTTTTTTTTTTTTTTTTATAAAGTAAACTAATTGAGCTATGGGCCGGGTCAACTTAATTGGCCCACAACCCAACTCCTTTTGATACAGTTCAATCATGATGCTCAATTATATCTAAACTAACCCAATCTTATAATATAACAATATGAGTTGTGTTGAGTTAGCGTATGACGAGGGAGACTCTATTTTATGAACAATGGGCTTTAAGGATAGCCCAATATTGGTAGACACTATTATTTAGGGCAAATTATGCTGTGGAACCGTGGAATCAAGGTGGACACGGTTTCAAAACTGTTCATAATTATGAATATATAATTCAAAAATTATGAACATAGAGTTGTGAACATAATTATGAACATATAGTTCTGTAATTATAAATATAGAGATTCAATAATTGTAAATATGAAGTTTAAAAATTATGAATATATAGCTTTATAATTATGAACATATAATTCAGTAACTATGAACATAAAACCGTATTCACCTTGCAAGGAGGATACGGTTCCACAGCATAACGATTGATTGTTTAGTTGTCCATGATTGAGAAGAAACAAGAAAAGAAGTTTGAAGATAAGTGTAGCTAGCTAGCTGGTATGGTATGTGAGAGCAACATTGTCAGTATCAAGATAAGCGCCCATATGGCCATATCATGGATAAAGGAACATACTCTAAAGGACAAATGGTTTGGACGACAAATTAAAGCCATCCAAATGAATGGAAAACCATAAACGAAACATGGTGCGTATGTAGTTTCCCAAGGTTCAATTCCATCCAAAGGTTGTTTTGTCGTCTCATAACACTCTATTTAATTTGCACAACACACACTTGTGTATATCATTTTCTGTGTCATGGACCAGTATATATAATCATGAGCTGTTGGTTGGTGGCCATATATATATATATATATATATATATATATATATATATATATATATATATATATATATATATATATATATTTTTTTTTTTTTCTTTTGAAAATATATTTTGCAGGGTGCATATTTGAAAAAAGAAAATTACAGATCATTTACGTTGTCTCATTAAAAAATCACTCTTTAATTATTATTTTTCTTTTGCGTATCTATATAAATGTCCCGTTTTAGTTAAAAAATTTGAGACGAACATATTAACTATTACAAAATACATTGATCTTTTAGAATTATGTACAAATATTCAATGCACCCTTATCAGATTGTCTCTCCCCGCTTATGGCTGAGGCAATAACATGTAAGGAAGCCTTGTCTTGGTTATGGAATCGTGGGGAACGCTCTGTACGCTTACTCACAGATTGTTTGACCCTACAACAGTATTTGACAAATCAAGCTGTCACAGTTCGGACTTATGTTGGCTATGCTATTAGTGCTTGTAGAGCACGCATTATCTCTTTTGATTACTGCTCAGTTAATTTTATTCCTAGATCAGAGAACTATTTAGCTCATAGTTTAGCGGCTTCTGCATTTAATTATTCTACGATTATGTATTCGGACGATGTCCCCCCAGACTCTATTTCTGAGTATTTTTAATATATGCCATATTGACCACCTTTCAAAAAAATTCAATGAAGTAGCCCTACAACCCTCATAAGTGCTAATTCTTCTCTGTCATTAACAAATATCTCTTCATCTCAAACAAATATATAATCCTACTATTATGAAATTGTACTGAGATCATCATGCTTGGCATGGGCGTTTAGAACCACAATATAACTCATCAGCAATAAATTAATAAGCTACATAGACAAACTTGTATGCATGTATCAGTCCAAAATTCAAATCAAACAAGAAGTACCTAACATTAATATTTTACACAATCGATTAGTAATATTAATTCAGCCCGTGATTTTTTATATAATTTTTAACTCATATTATTATATTAATTAATATTCTTGATTCTTGATGAGTTTATACATGACATAATTTGAATAAATTAATTACACTCAATAGATATTTTGATGGAATCAGTCTAGCAGATTTTTTATTTTTATTCTTTTAATAATATAGTGGCATCTAATCTACCTCATCATCAGATTAAAATAAGCTAATATTATATTTTAAAAAAAGTTAATAATAATGGAAGTAATCTTTATTCCTTGTACCATTGCACAAACGATAAAGCATATGTTCACGAATCACATGACTCGGACGTGCGGTGGTTACACAGCCAAGAATTCTCGTTCTCGTATTTAAAAAAACAAAAGCATGCGATTGGTCCGTGAGGAAACGGACGTGTAATCCACGAGATTTGACATGTCGGATTTAGGTGGGTCCCGGTGGTGGCGAAGCATCAGGGAATATACGCTGCGGCCGGAGAATTATGCTTTTTCTCGTATGCGAATAATCGAATATCCCTTCCGTCCGAAATTCCGAATCCATTGTTTTTTCCTTTATTATTTTATTAGTAGCTGAGGCGGCTTGTGAAATGACGAGAATGGGTTTGAATTTACTGGGTTTGAATTTACTAGATTGCCCTTCCAGGGACTGCCATCTACTCTTGCCAATCCACATGTTCAATCACATAATAGCTGTATCGATAATGTTGCATTTATTGTTACGACATATACTTACGCAACAACAAATAGTAAAAATAATTTCGGTACGCTAAAATTTGTATGGTTTTATAAATTAAATAATGGCCTACTACGGATAAAAACGCGAATTTACGATGTATTTTTAACTATATGTTAATTTGGATTAAATGGAATTCAATATAATATAATGAATATTCGATATGCAATGACCTGTAACCATAATATATACATATATTGGGTGACATTAAAAATTTGTCGCCAATGCTTGAGGTTGTGCAATGAGTAAATTTTATTCATTTATATGTAATAATATTTAGCAAATCACATAGGACGGATAAACCACACTAAGAAGATATTATATAACATACTTAGTGAGAATGTGTTGCTTCATCATTCACTTCGACAGCTTTCGGGACAATTATGATATTCTTTAATCAACAAAAATAAATAAAAATAAAACATGAACTTTCAATCAGCTTCAATGCAAAACAACTCTTCTTGCCCTTAGCTTGAGACACCTAAGCAAACCTCTCTTATCAATATAGCAATATAATAGTACTTAAAAAAATTGTTAGGTTAAGGTAGGTTGACCTCTCTATGTGCCACCCACACTAAGATTCCACAAGTGGAGAAATTTATCACCCCACATTCATATCTCATCTCTTTGAAAATGTAAGAAATATTATTTGACCAACACGTCCTTAGCTTCCAACATTAAAAAGAACAAAAATGGTGTCCATTTTGATTTCATCCTACGTAGTTTGCACTACTCTTCATAGGTGTCGCGTGGGTGTTATAAATCACTGTCGTCATTACATATAATGCTTGATTATTAATTAATTAATAAGCAAATGGGTTAACTTTGCCCTATAACCGTGTCATGTTTCACTTGAATATAGACTATTCTGAAACTGTTGTAGATTGTTTGGGCTCGAGATACGGATATGTGGTGGTTGACACAGGAGTAAAGCGGGTGACAATAACCTCATCCAAGCCCGCTATATATAAAATATGCTAAAAGCTTATGTAAAAGAGGTAGAGCGTCATTGAGAGATTAAGTTAGATCACAATTTTAAAGAGCAGACACCCTAGAGACATTCAATTGATTGAAGAACCATCTTCTTTCATCAATATAAGTAGATTTTAGCATATGACGAATTGAGTTTTCATATGCTAGAGCGGTCCTTTGTAAAAATAATTCAACTTTCTTTCTTGATTGTTTTTCTTGTTTTGTTTAAAAAAATAAAAAAAATAATTTAATAGGTAAAATTATTTTTTTTCTATTTAATTTATGAATGGGACAAATAGTGGTGGGCCCTTTGAAATAATAATGGATGTAATTTATCCGCTTGATTAGGCCTGAGGGTGTAAATGTCAATGTCCATCTTCCCGCACATCAAAATCAAGGTTCCACTTGGTAAATACTCGAGGGTATTTACGGTATGTAAACTTAGACACTGTTTATCGCTTTCCGCTTTAAATGAATCCTTCAAGCGTTCCCTCCATCGGCTTCCTGAAGAAAAGAAGCAGCTTTAGAGTCATAGTCTTCTCCGTTCTCTCATATAATATACACTGGGAATCTGAATAGAGAATCTCAGTACAGACTGCCAGAGAAAGGAAAGCAAAGCAAAGCGATCCATTCAACTCAGTAAGGTTTGATCTTCATCCCCGATTCTTTTGATCTATTTACTGTCCATTTTTCGACTTTTAATCTGCTTTTTTCCTGAATTTTCACTACAACTTTAAAGTATAGCGTTGTTTGATTAAATTTCGACGTTGAAAAAAAAAACCCAGTTTTGAAGATGGATAATTACGATTTACGACTTTACTTTTATTGTTGTTTTTACATATTTGATCAGTTCTTGATTTTCCGGTGGGAGAATCCTCTGGGTATGATATTTTTTTCCGGCGAGCTGGTTAATCAGATTCCGAGGCTAAGAATATATATTATGTAAACTAAAAAATCGGAAGATTTATATTAATGTTGTCGGATCATGGTTATTGGTTCTTATATGTAGGATTTTTATGGTAACTATCCTGCGATGTGTACAAAGTTTATCTTTTTATTTGCTGGAATGGATGAGGAATCCCCGGGAATATAGGGGAATTCTTTGACATGACTCGGTTCTGGTGTAATCTGAGTTGATAAGGCAATAGAAATACATAACTTGTGCCATAATTCAAGGATAAGATATAGTGGTTGTTGGGTATTGGTCATTTCTATTTAAAGTTATATATATAAACCTCTCTCATTCAGAAAAAAAAGAAGAAAAAAAAAAACCTTTATTTCAGAGAAATGTGTTCAATGTTTGCTGATTTAGATACATATTTGTTCATGTTTCAAATGATGGCATTATGTTAAGATTATTGTTACATCTTAGTATTTGTCTGATAATCCCATTCAGTTGATCCTGTCTGATTGACTGTCTTGTTGTATCTTGTCTCAGGATTTATCATTATTCTTGGACTCATAGAAGAGGGGATTTTTGGGCGCTCTTCCTGGTAATCAGATTTGAGTTGATATCCATTAATGGGGTCTCTTCCAGAGCCAATTGAGGAGACAAACTACAAGAAGCCTCCAGGAATAAAGTTCTTAGAGGGCGCAAAGAAGACGGCCTTCTCATACAAGACGTATCAAGCCATAGTTCTAATTGTAACATTTTTTGCATACGCGGCATATCATGCTACTAGGAAAACGACCAGCATTGTGAAAAGTGCGCTTGATCCACAGACGATTGAAGTTGAGTTAAATTCCCCATGGCTGAGAGGTTATGCTCAGAATTCTCGCCAGAACTTGAGAGGATCATGGGTGCTTGGGAGTGGCTGGTATCCTTTCGATGGTCCTAGTGGCACAGAATTGCTCGGCTATATTGATGTGGCTTTCCTGTTTGTGTATGCGTCGGGGATGTATTTCTCGGGGCATATAGGTGATAGAATGGATCTTAGGATTTTCTTGACGGTGGGAATGGTGGGAACTGGTTTGTTCACAGCCCTTTTTGGAGTTGGATACTGGGCAAATATCCATGTTTTCTATTACTATTTGATTGTCCAAATGCTTGCCGGTTTGTTCCAATCCACTGGCTGGCCTTCTGTGGTTGCGGTTGTGGGGAATTGGTTCGGGAAGAAGAAGAGAGGACTTATAATGGGAATATGGAATTCTCACACATCTCTTGGCAACATTACTGGTTCCTTAATTGCATCGGGTTTATTGAAGTTTGGATGGGGTTGGTCCTTGGTTGTTCCCGGTCTGTCTATCGCCTTCATTGGCTTGGTGGTTTTCCTTTTGTTGCCGGTTAATCCCGAGTCTGTTGGCGCTGGTAATGACGAAGAAGATGACGATCTCTCACCTGAAAAAGAATGGAAGGAAGTTACAGAACCTCTCTTGCAATCAGATAGCAGCGAGGAATCTGCTGTGGGTTTTATCGAAGCATGGAAGATACCTGGGGTTGCGCCTTTTGCCCTTTGCCTGTTCTTCGCCAAGCTGGTGGCCTATACATTCCTCTATTGGCTTCCTTTCTACATTAGCCACACAGGTATATCAAAAGTCCTTAACCAAAAAAATAAAAGCGTTTTCTTAAGTCTTAACTCACCATATCTTATGCCAAGGACCTTGTGGTCTAGTGGCACCAAGTTGCTCTCTCATATGGGAGGTTATGGGTTCGAGCCCAGTGGGGCGGGTTCGAGCCTCAGTGGAGCACGATATTGACTCTTTGTGCTTCAGTAGGTTGAGAAAGTAGTTATGAACAGATACTGCACTCTTTGTGCTTCAGTAGGTTGAGAAAGTAGTTATGAACAGATACTGCACTCTTTGTGCTTCAGTAGGTTAGTAGTTATGAACAGATACTGCATTGTAACAGAGTCAGTAGTACTCAAAAAACTCACCACATCTTCTTGTGATGCTGCAGCTATAAATGGAAGGTACTTATCGAACGAGGAATCAGGGAACTTATCTACGATGTTTGATGTTGGCGGGGTGGTTGGGGGAATCCTAGCCGGCTACATTTCCGATCGCTTGGATGCCAGAGCCATGACGGCTGCCAGCTTCATGTACTGCGCGATTCCAGCCCTCTTCTTCTACAGAAACTATGGCCATGTCTCCATGCCCATCAACATCATCCTCATGTTGATCACGGGAGCGTTTGTGAATGGACCTTACGCGCTGATAACAACCGCGGTTTCAGCAGACCTGGGAACACACAGCTCGTTGAAAGGCAACTCGAGAGCACTGGCAACAGTCACTGCAATTATCGATGGAACTGGCTCCATTGGGGCTGCCATTGGCCCTCTGCTAACCGGCTACATTTCTGCTAAGAGCTGGGGTGCGGTTTTCACAATGTTAATGGGAGCAGCCCTGGTTGCCGGCTTGCTTCTAACTAGGTTAGTCATCTCCGAGGTTGCCACCAAGATCCAAAACTCCAGGAGCCAAGGGGAGCCAAGGTCACAGCAGTCTCCCGTCAATTTAGTGTAAACAGTGAAAGTAGTCGCTTATATAATGTGTATATATTATCTATATTCGAGCCCGATGCTTTGGTTTTCAGCCTCGGATCACCCAGATGAAGGGAATGGAGGAAGATATTACAGGTTACTCCATTGTTGTTACTGTATACAAGTTTAGCTGCTGTGTTGTGTGCCAAAAAGCGATAGATCATTGCGTTTGGAACCAGAAGCCTAAATTCTGGGAATTGAAAAGTTTCTCATTCCTGAAAGATTTCAAAATAGATTAGTATGTAGCTGTTTTGCCTTGATGGGCAATGGGATTAGGTGGGGCAAAAGATATGAAATTTGCTTATCTTTTTGCCTTCCATGTCCATTTCTGATTGCATTTCTTGTCACTTTCAGAAGATGAACCTTTTTCTTCCATTCAAGGATGGGGAAACTATCTGGAAATTGTCCTCTTTTCAATTTTGTCCATAATTGAATTTATTTCTTTTTCCTCTTTGATCCCATTTCCTCACTTCTTTCTCCTACTATGAACAGCTTCAAGGAACATCTTTGCAAAACAAAGTTTAGCAGAAAGCAATAATATCGAATTCGAGATTAAGGAAACATGTCACAAGTCACAACAATCTAATAATAATAGAACCCAAGAAGCAAGATCAATGTTTGAAGGATATGAACAACATACAGCTAATCCTTATCCTGCAAATATCAATTTCTGGAGGCCACTGTCTTCCATAGAAAATCATCTGGTTGAGAAGTGGCCATCTTTGACACGTTTCTGTCAATGATAAGCATGCTTTAATCAAGTAGTAATAATCTGAAAATGAAAGGAGACCAAGTAGAAGCAAAATTCAATCATCTATTAATAATCTGAAAAGGAAATCAATCATGAATTCACACTAAGGAAGGACCACAGAAGAAGGCAATGTTGAACATCAGATAAAAATGCAGGGAGAAGTCGTATGAACGAGTGAGATGTTCCAATGAAGATACACTACCTAAGCTAGCAACAGTTGCATGACAATGGCCACAAGATAACTTCAACGAAAATCACAAGACTATTTCAGCACCATAAGATGTTTTCAACATTCTATATACTGTAAAAAGGACTTTCCCAATATATTATCACAAGAAGGCATTTCAGCTTGAGTCAGGAATGGCTCCCACTAGAAGAATGTGAACTGAATAACAATATATTATCATAAAACGGAAGTATCAGCAGAAAGTTTTGGCAATAATTTTCTTCTCTGAAGTTGTTCTGTTCTTGTGGCACACAACCTACTATCAACTTCAAAACTATGAGTTGCAGGACATTTAAGAATATCATTTTCAGTTCATTTTTAGGGTTAGATCAAAGAGATGCCTGGATCAAAGTGCTGACAATTGCCAGTGGTCAAAGTCCCATTATCAGCCAAAGCTTGCAACTTTATAGCAGTAAAGGGCATTAAAAAAGAAAAACCAACATGAACTCTGTACTGTTTGTTTATTCTCAAGCCCAAACTCAAAGATCATCATAACAAGTTTGTTTATTATTCATGAATTTCTAGCATCTACACAGAAATCTTCATCTGATGAATTACAACTTTCAAATATACATATTCTGATTTCTGAATATGGAAAAGAAGTACAGTACATTTAATTATGCATATTGATTGATGCGGAATGACCTGAGATTAAAATCGGAAGACTATTCGCCGGGCTTTGTGGGCTTCCGGTACTTCTCCTCGACGTCTTTAGCCTTAAACAAAACCGCCTCGATGGTTTTCCGGAGATTGGGAACGTTGTAGTTCTGGGCGATATAAATTCCGCAAACTGTTCCAGATACGAAGATGAAGTTGTTCCTAATTATTCCCATCGCTCTTCGATTGCTATGAAGGAGAATCTGTGAGCGGCCGAGCTGAGAACGACCGACGACTGGTTTCCGGCGCCGGGAAATGATCAACGCGATGCGCGAAATAACTCGGAGACGACGCCGATCTTTGACTTTACCAATTATGGAGTAACAACAAAAAATAGTTAATTTCACTTTGACCCCCGGATGAATTGATACTATGTTTAAGTCCTCAATTATAATATAATTTATGGTAAAGTATCAAATAAGCCTCTAAACTTTATTTGAAAAGTTAATTAGGTCTTTAAACTTTTAAAAAGTGTAATTACACCCTTTAACATGTTAAATTGAGACAATGAAGTCCAATAATCGATAAATGACATGTTATTACAGTTCACTTACCATTCCGGTAAAAATTCTACGACGGCCGAATTGTCGATGGTCGCCATCTGCTAGAGAAGGCGACCAGATCTGGCCGGAGGAGGCGACCAGAATAATCGCCTTCTCCAGGGGAAGGTGACCAGAACTGGTCGCTTTTTCAAGACACTTCTCCCGCGAAGGTAACCAGCCCTCACCAAAGAAAGCGACCTTTTGGTCGATGGTAACTTTTTTCGTAAGATTTATCAAGTCAACGGCAAACAATATAGTCTACTGTGTAATTTTACCGATAACCTGCTGGTTATCGCTAAATTTGACTTATTTGATCCAAAATAACATATTTGAGGATTTAATTGTACTTTTTAAAAGTTTACGTGTCTAATTGACTTTTGATGTAAAGTTTAGAGACCTATTTGACCATTTTTCATACATTTTATTATTAATTCATATTTATTATTATTATTATTATTTTTTTGAAAACGCGTCAAATATGTCATCAAATTATTAGTACTTTTGCAATTAGGCCATCAAATAAAAATATGTGCAATTAAACCATTTAACTCTATAAATTTCTACATATCAGCTAGCATTTTTAGCAAGTTATTTTCATATAGTTGGTAAGATAAACGACATAGCGTCTTATCACTCTTATGTGATAATTTTTAATTTTTTTTTTAAAAAAAAATCTTATTTGGAGAGGCAAGAAACTAGGTCCTCTCCATCACGGTAATTAAGGCATGAAAAACAGGGCGTTAAACAAGGAGCTCTTCCTCCCAACATTTACACTACAGACACAAACATTGCTAAATAACAATTCATGTTCCTTGAATACCGCCAGCAAAAGATTTGCTAATATTTTTTTTTTTATCAAATCGTTATACAAAATATTGTTAGTGTAATTTATCTCTTATACTAATCGTTTGACGAACTTCTCACTTAGTTTAGATATTAGCTTTCATTCCACCGTCTACAATTCCATCATAAAGCGCGGCTCTTGGAAGAGGATATGCTCGGGAAAGCTTGGGCTCAGCTCGGAAGGTACAGTGTATGAACTGTTAAGTTAGGATTTTGTTTAAACGTAATTGAAAAGTATCGTAATAAACACTCACTCATTACTTAATTTGAAGATGGATGTCGTAAACATTAATATCAAGAATTTATATCAAAATAAATAATATATTATATTTGTTTAATATTTTCAAGACTCTTGCTTTGTCAAATTTGGACACTTTTATCAATTATTATTATTATAAAATAAAATGACCTTGATCCCAGCCTCGTGTTTTCATTACTTGAAACAAGATGGACAACTAGCTCACTGTGTTTTATGAAACAGTATGAGAAAACACGTACTTTAATATCTAAAAAGTCGAATTATATATTATTGTATGTATTAGTAATTAATGATAATAAATAAATTCGAATAATGAAGATTAAGAAGTTTCAATCCGGACAAAGAGTCAAACACCAACTTAATTAGTTAATTAGCAGCCTTCTAATAATAATACTAAAAAAAAACACTTTCTTTTATGTTAATACATGCATTTCTTCTCATGAGAGACAATGCCTTTGTCTCTCCCTTTCTGGTCGGCTCATATTAAATCATCAAACATATTAAATGCTTTATCTTAACGTCACAACTGCTATCTAAATGTGTGCTCTAGATAAAATTTGTTTTGTGATCCTAGCTGTCGAAGAACTACACAAAGGTAAATCGATCAATCTAAATTGTACATAAATGACCAGTTTAAATCAAGCAAGAAGATTTAAAATATCTATATATAATTGACTGTTTGCTCAAATCAAGAAGGTCAATAGAATGACAACTCTCGAGAGTCTAAATTGTTAGAACTTTGTAGTTACGAAATCAACTGTTAAACAAACTATCATGTACAGTTGTACACGAATCAATCGGAGAAAATTCAATTATTCAATATATATAAAGAGAGAAGGGGAGATGGAGATGGAGAGGACAGAGGTCTTATTATAAAACACTAAAAACTGGCACTTGCACTTTCCTAGTAGCTTCACTGTACGTATTGTTTTTCAATATCCTCCGATCCCTTCCATTAATCCAAATCTCAATCCCATTTCAGCTCTCAATCATCAACTATATTATCTCGTTTCAACTTAATAATCATTATTGTCGTACTAAGTCGCCAAACATGTATTGTCTATCCGCTGTTTTGATGTTTATGTTGTGCGGCGTCGCCATTATTCATGTCTGTCATGCTTGGGTGTTTCTGGTAATACGTAGTACTGGTTTTTCCGTTTAGTTTTCCGTTAAACTAAGGTTGTAGTTACACTAATTTTCTGGCAATGATATGATAACACTGCAGGATGATCCAATCGAGAAAGTTGGAGTGAGCAGAGAGGATTATTTGAAGATCCATCGTCGCCGTCAACCGGCCGTTTCATGGCCGCACGTTCTTCCTCCTAAGAAACACAACAACAAAGGTATAAATCTTGGTTTTCACTCAGATTATTCTCTACCCAAACCCCGTCCACCCTCCAACAATTGACAATATTAATTACATCCATCTTCTTCTTGTTGTTAGATATATCTGTAGTCTAACAATTAACTAAATAAACCTAAATACAAAGAACTTGACCTTGTAATAACTAGAGCAGAATCAGTGTTGATCTCTAATCTGATAGTTATTATTATTATTATTATTATTATTATTAGTTTATAGTGGGATCATGGGTAGTTATAATATAGTAGTGGGTTAGTGGGTAGCTTTATTATCATATATAAATAGATGCCTATGTATTTGAAGAGGACTTTTGGAAAATTAGTATTTTGGCTTTCTATGATATGAAAGATTGGGAGAAGAAGCACTCCAGCAAGGCTTATGTATTTTGAGAGAAGAAGCACTCCAGAAAAGCTTATGTATTTTGGGAGAAGAAGCACTCCAAAAAAGCTTCTGCGTTGTCATTTTAAGTTCTAGGCCTGTAACGCGATCCTAGATATCCTGACACATAACATAATCATAGTTGATATTTTCTTGTATGTATCGTCATACCTGGTAGCAGAGATTAGTGCAATATAAATATAGTTTTTTTTTTTTTTTAGGTGACGAAGAAACTTGCAGCGGCTACTAGTGAGGGTGTGTTTGTTTTTTCAGTGTGTTATATAAATGTTTTTGTTGGAATTGACTGCCACTAGCTAATGGGATATATAGGACACGCAGGAAGAAGAGGAATCATTGAGTTTGAGCCTTCTTCTGATGAGGGGAAAAAAGAGGTAATTAACTGAATTAATTCAGAAGTTAGCTTCTGATTAATTAATTCAGAAGTTAACGTATGTATATATATGTCTTGTTTCTAAAACAACAATAATGTTGTCGGGTAACTAATTAGTGTAGTATTATAATGTCATAGATCAGAGTTTTCTTATAATTAGATAGAAACAATTTATTGTAACATTAATCGCGTATCTTAATATAATTAAAATTAATTTGTAGGGTTCAAGATCATCCGCAGTTGATAATGAAGTTGATTCCAATCACAAAAACAGTAAGGTTGGGCGTGATGCCGATGATGGCGATATAGTTGAGATGGACTATAATCCAGCACACCGTAAGTCACCCATTCACGGCAAATAAAACAATTACGTGTATTGAATAAATCCACTTCACGTGAAATAGTTCATAAATCGACATTCAAGAGGAGTAAGTCACACTAAAAAATCATGTGCAATAAATTAAAAGTAATAAATTTTTTGATTCGTGAGACAATTTTATACAAAATTTTATTTATGTTTAAGTTTCATTTCAACTTTTGGATCGGAGAGAGTGAATCTTTATAGAATGAACTAGGAAATGAAGTAATCTTAGTTGTGGACTTATGGACAATGAAGTAAATGTGATAAACTTTTTGACCCGGTTCTGCACAAAATTGGTTTATATATTTATGTTTTATTTCACTTTTATTTTTGGAGATTAGAGCTTCCACAATAATGGTTTTTTTATGATTTTTGTCAGATTAAAAATTTAATGATGTTTTTTTGTTGATGTGGACAATGATTTTTAAGGTGATTTTTTCTCCTGCAATATCATATTTATTGTGCATGGGTCCCATTGAAAAGAGAAAAGGATAAAATAGTCACTTTTTATGTGCGTTTTGCGCCCATTAGCGCCCAGCTAAACGCATGCAGTCCATGCGCCAGCTGGGCGCGTTAGGCCTGTATTTTTTTAATTGAGATCTCAGCTTTTTTTTTTTTTTCTTTCCTCTTTCTCTATCCTAATGTGCAAAAGAAGAAAATTCAATAAAATTTAAAACTAATGTGGTTGCTCTTGGATCTTGTAAGGCAAACAAAATATAGATGCTATAGTCTTTCGTTGTTGTCAATGTTTTATTATCTAATTAATAGACTTTTGGCCATTACAAGTCATATACACAGTAATACTAATTAAATACACGTGCCATTTTGTACATACTACATGTACTTCTAGTACGTGCAATCACTGTTGGAAATTTCGTGTTTTTCGTCCAACGTATATTGGACAGAAAACGCGATATATTGGTCGAAAATAAGGTTTTCGTCTAACATATCGACCAAAAGGAACGTTCGAAAAAACCATCGTCGGAAATTTCGTCCAACTATGATTTTTGGTCGAAAATAGCGTCCAACGAACAAAAATTGGACGGAAATTTCGGAGAGTAACCCATCATTCTTAAAACGTGGGAATTTCCGTCCAATTACGTGCGTTGGTCGGACATTCCGACCCAACGTTGGACGGAAAACTCACATATTATATTTTGTTATTTTCCTTCCAATTGTTGGTAGGAACATCCTAAATCATATGGAATGTTTCTATTATTTTTATATTACTATAATTTTATTTATACCTATTGTGAATAAATTATGTCATTAACAAATTAATAGATCAGAGACGCGCTAAATTTTAAATTGAAAATATATTTAAACATCAAAATTATGGTCATGTCTATAGTACTTCCAACTACGTACTATTACCATACACAAAAAAAAAAAAAAAAAAAAAAAAAAAAAAAAAAAAAAAAACTATAAAAATATATATTACTTTATCAATACTACTTTAAGTATCATCACTACACCCAAATAAGCCTTCAAATCTGACACTACTTCAATGGCTTTGATCAATGCAGCATCCACAGCCTTCTACTTCAATGACTTTGATCAGTGCAGGGTGACTCAGGAACTGCATAGAGAATAGAGCAGAGGAGAATATCAGATCCCTTAATTCAATGTTGACCTATCAATATACCATTTGAAAGCAAAATAGAATGTTCTGAATAACTGAAAACCTCAACCAGATTGTAGATCTGAATCACCACATGAAAATTAAATATGGTAACCTCAACCAGATTGTAGATCCGAATCACCACATGAACATATGGTATTCAGCAGACTAATATAACGGAAGAAGCCTATATATTCCAAGTCTCAAATTAGTCAACTTCTGAAAACAAATTGCAATATACATTGAAATTTGGAAAGCCACAGCTTTCACAAACAAATGTCAATGCAAAGTGAAAACAAAAACAAATAAATGCTTGTCATCAATCTAACCAACTAATGCATGCAATTATGCATGGAAACATACATTCACTAAAGGTAAACAATCAAGCGGAACAACACAGACAGTTCAATATAATAATCAAAGGCAAAGCTAACCTCATCAATCAAGCATGCAATTATGACACGCTAGCTTAAAGTAGTCATGCATCATCCTATTAATGGCAGACAAGAAAACTTCACGAAACTCATAGTAATGCAACATAATTTCTAAATTAAACATCACCACTTAGTGCACAAGGCTCCAACAAGAAAGGAGATAATAAAAAGAAGAAGACACTCTGTATAAGAAAGAGGAATTCAGTGAAGCGATTGATTTGGCGTTACTAAAACTCAACCTTGGTGGACTCACTCCGTCGCGACCAAACACCTTCGCCTCACACTCAGTCGAGTCTTCGAACTGCAAATCCAGAAGTCGAGGTTTTCCTTCTAGATCTGTCGCAGAGGAAGGCGGGCGAGTGGCAGCATTCGAGCCTACAACGTCGTCGCAGCCTAGAGGTCAGGGGAGGCATCATCGTCGTCTTCATCGCAAGTGAGGTCAGGGGAACCGTCGTCGTCGTAGGGGAGGGCGATTTTGCTGTGTCTGCAGCTGCTTATGTGTTTAGAGAATATATAGGGTTTTGAGGAGGAGGAGGTACCCCAAAGACTTTGTTGTTTTGAGCGAAAAATATTAATGAGTTTTGACAATGCTTAAATATTCTAATTTTTGTCCAATAATAATGTTGGACGGTATTTAGTCAATTCGATTTTACATTTTACCTAATGGTCAATTTGATTTTCTGTCCAATATTTACTGTAGATCAGAAATTCCGTCCAACACTCACATGTTGGACAGAATTTCCGTCCAACTATCGCGAGTTGGACGAAAATTTCCATCCAACTTTTCAATCATTCTCATTTTAAACGGAAAGTTTGGACGAAAGTAACGAGATTTTCAGCCGTAACTAATGTTGATGTATGCTAAAAGAAAAATAATAATAATAACGCCAATAAAATGAACCACATCAATAAACTGGATTCACATACAATAAAACATCAAATTAAAACTTTGAATAAATTTTATTAATGAAAACATAAGACGGCCTCCATCTTATTCATGCACTGTACGTTACAAACATCAAACGACTAAACACATACAACGACAAATGAACTTAATTGTGAATATTATTAATTTAACAGGTTATTACTTTAATTTCAAGTTTAAGTATGTAAGATAAATGACATAGAATCTTAAGTGGTAATTTTTAATACTTCTAAAACAAAAATCTTATTTGAAGAGGCAAGAAACTAGGTCCTCTCCTTCACGGTAATTAAGGCATGAAAAACAGGGCGTTAAACAAGGAGCTCTTCCTCCCAACATTTACACTATGGACACAAACATTACTAAATAACAATCCATGTTCCTTGAATACCGCCAGCAAATTGTTTATATATCATCACGTGAAGTAAGTGGAGCATAATTATTACATCAAAAGATTGCGATATTAATTTTTGCTAATATTTTTTTTATCAAATCGTCATATCAAGGATTTTTAGTGTGATTTAAATATCTCTTCTGTGTGTTGATGATCGTTTGACCAACTTCTCACTTAGTTAGGATATTAGGTTTCATTCCACCGCCCTCCATCATAAAACACGGCTCTTGGAAGAGGATATGCTTGGGAAAGCTTGGGTTCGGAAGGTGCAATGTATGAGTTGTTAAGTTAGGATTTTGTTTAAACGTAATTGAAAAGTATCGTAATAAACACTCACTCATTTCTTAATTTGAGGATGGATGTCGTAAACACTAATATCAAGAATTTATATCAAAATAAATAATATATGTATATTTGTTTAATATTTTCAAGACTCATTGTTTTGTCAATTTTCGACACTTATAAATTATTATTATTAATATAAAATGACCTTGATCCCAGCCTCGTGTTTTCAATACTTGAAACAAGATGGACAACTAGCTCACTGTGTTTTATGAAACAGTACGAGAAAACACGTACTTTAATATCTAAAAAGTCGAATTATTATTGTATGTATTAGTAATTAATGATAATAAATTAGAATAATGAAGATCAAGAAGCTTCAATCCGGACAAAGAGTCAAACAACCAACTTAATTAGTTAATTAGCAGCCGATTCCAGGAAGTAGGAAGCAATCTTAACAAACCCAAATTCTATTAGTTTAGCCTTTAATAATAATACTAAAAAAAAAACACTTTCTTTTATGTTAATACATTCTTCTCATGAGAGACAATGCCTTTGTCTCCCCCTTTCTGGTCGGCTCATATTAAATCATCAAACATATTAAATGCTTTCTCTTAAACTCGCAACCGCTATTTAGATGTGTGTGCTCTTGATGAAACTTGTTTTGTGACCTTCGTCGTCAAAGAACCACACATAAATAAATCAGCCTAGATTGTATATAATTGACCAGTTTAAATCCACAAGATAACTTAGAATTCCCATAATTGACTGTTTGTTAAAATCAAGAAGGTCAATAGAATGATAGACAACTCTCTTGAGAGTCAAACCTGTAGCTAGAATTTTGTGGTTACGAAGTCAACTGTTCAACGAACTATCACAGTATCATGTACATATACAGTTAGTTACGTTATTCAATATATATAAAGAGAGATGGGGAGATGGAGATGGAGAAGACAAAGGAGGTCTTATAAAACACTAAAAACTTGGACTTTCATGATCAATTCCTAGTAGCTTCACTGTATTGTTTTTCAATATATATTCTCCCTTCCATTAATCCAAATCTCAATCCCATTTCAGCGTTAGTTCAATCATAAACATATCTCGTTTCAACTTAATAATCATTATTGTCGTACTAAGTCGCCAAACATGTCTTGTCTATCCGCTGTTTTGATGTTTATGTTGTGCGGCGTCGCCATTATTCATGTCTGTCATGCTCGGATGTTTCTGGTAATACGTAGTACTGGTTTTTCCGTTAAGGTTGTAGTACGTACACTTTCGAGTTGCACTAATTTTCTGGCAATGATAACTACACTGCAGGATGATCCAATCGAGAAAGTTGGAGTGAGCAGAGAGGATTATTTGAAGATCCATCGTCGCCGTCAACCGGCCGTTTCATGGCCGCACGTTCTTCCTCCTAAGAAACACAACAACAAAGGTGTAAATCTTGGTTTTCACTCAGATTATTCTCTACCCAAACCCCGTCCACCCGCCCACAATTGACAATATTAATTACATCCTCTTTTTGTTGTTAGATATATCTTTAGTCTAACGGTTAACTGAATAAACCTAAATTCGAAGATCTTGACCTTGTAATAGCTAGTTGGAGCAAAATCAATGTTAATCTCTAATCATAGTTGATATTTTCTTGCATGTATCCGTCATACCTGGTAGCAGAGATTAGTTCAATAAAAAATTCAGTTTCGAAATCCAAACAATTAAGATGATTTTTTTTTTTTTTTTACAACTGTGTATATATATATGGAGTAATTTTTTTTGGGTGACGAGAAAACTTGCAACGGCTACTAGTAGTGAGGGTGTGCTTGTTTTTTCTTTGTGTGTTATATAAATGTTTTTGTTGGAATTGACTGCCACTAGCTAATGGGATAAGACATGCAGGAAGAAGAGGAATCATTGAGTTTGAGCCTTCTTCTGATCAGGGGAAAAAAGAGGTAATTAACTGAATTAATAATTCAGAAGTTAGCTTTTGATTAATTTGGGGAACAACGTATGTATGTATATGTCTTGTTCCTAAAACTACAATAATGTTGTCGGGTAACTAATTAGTGTAGTATTATAATGTCATAGAGTTTTCTTATAATTAGATAGAAACAATTTATTGTAACATTAATCTTAATATAATTAAAATTAATTTGTAGGGTTCAAGATCATCAGCAGTTGATTCCAATAACAAAAACAGTAAGGTTGGGCGTGATGCCGACGATGGCGATATAGTTGAGATGGACTATAACCCAGCACACAGTAACTCGCCCATTCACAACAAATAATAAAATTACATGTACTATATAAATCACGCTCATGTGAAAATAGTTCACAAATCACACATTCAGGAGGTAATCTCCATTCGCACCGAACCGGTCTAATTAATGGGTAAAGTGTTAGCCAAGTTGATTTTTTCATATGAGAGGGGTTCAAACTCCCGACCTCTCTTAAACGATAAGAATGCACGACCATTCACGCTAACCAAGATGGTTGAAATGAAGTAATCTTAGTTGTGGGCAATGCTATAAACTTTTTGACCCCGTTTTACACAAAATCAGTTTATAAATTTATGTTTTATTTCACTTTTGTTTTTTTTTGGAGATTAGATCTTGTAAGTCAAACAAAATATAGACGCTATAGTCTTTCGTTGTTGTCAATTTTTTTTTTTATATCTAATTAATAGACTTTTGGCCATTACAATTCATACATAGTTAATACTAATTAAATACATGTGCACATTTGCCAATGACTTTATGGTCTAGTGTCACGAAATTACTCTCTCCGCTCAAATGTGAGGTCATAGGTTCAAGCTCACAGTACATGCAATAATGTTGACAACGGCTAATAAAAGGAAAAAATCTTAATAAATTAAACTGGATTCACATACAATAAAACATCAAACTAAAATTTGAATAAATTTTAGTAATGGAAAGCTATGATATGTTTGGGAAAAACAGACTGACACCTTCCATCTTATTCATGCACGTTACAAACATCAAACGACGTGACACAGTACAACACATACATACGACAACAAATGAACTTAAGTGTGAATATTATTTTAATTTGATGCCCCCTCCCTGGGTATCATGCATGCATGCAGAGCATACGTACGTACGTAGGAGGTGGTTTAACAGGTGAAGCCATTTGGAACCTTGCGGCCACAGTTGTTGAGGACCAGGCTGAGGGCAACCGGCACGTTAAGGTTTGTTCCTAAAACATTGGCTCGTATCGCCGTGCACAGACACACCGCCGCCTCCAGATCCGCCAGCCCGGCCAGCAAGCTGCAGCACGGCAGCGTTGGTGGACTTCCGACCACCACTCCCACCAATCCTCCTAGTAGATTTGCACACACACCCAACTTCAGCGCATCCCTTGGGCACCGTCCGCCTCCTCCGCCACTCCCTCCACCGTTCCCACCGCCTCCATTGCCACCGCCTCCATTTCCACCACCGTTGCCACCGCCGGGGCTAGGAGGTGGGGTTTTGGGGTTCCCAGGACAAGTGTTACAAGCTTGCTGGGTTTCAGTGATCAGAGCAAAGAAAAGAAGGTTGAGGGCAAGGAAAATGGTGGCTGGAGATTTAGGGTTTAAAGAAGCCATTTCAAGAATCTAATCTTAATCAGAAGAAGAAATGATTAGTGAGTTTATTCAACTCTCTGCTGCCAAAGCTACTATTTATACTCTCACAACAAACCTATATCGGTGGTTAATAACTTATTAAAAATTTCAAAAACATAATCTATATTTTTAATATTACAATTTTTCTAATTTACTATTCAAGTTGTTGAGCTGTCAGTGGTGCCACCAAGCCAGTCAACTCATACAGGGCAGCACAAAAGATATCTAACCTAACCTTGAACAGAACATATACCCGTGACCCATTTAAGTTCAATGCGTGACATGCATTTTCCTTGAAATATATATAGCCTTGAGAGTAGGTTTTTTTTTTTAGTAATAAAATATTGTTTCAATAATTTAATACTAATTATAATATATATAATTATTTTTTAATTATTAAATTATATTTCATTACACTAAATTTTATTTTAAATGAGTAAGTTTTTACTATTATTCATTACATTGATCAAATTAAAGACTATTATCCATGCAAAAGATAAACTATGCCCATTTAGCTAGGGTCTTGAGAGTAGATTTTATTTTTTATTTTAATTAAAAGTAATAAATATTGCTTTAATATTTAAAATAAATTATCATAATTTTTAATTATTAAATTATATTTGTTTACACTAAATTATATATATATATATATATATATATATATATATATATATATATATATATATATATATATATATATATATATATATATATATATGTATGTATGTATGTATGTATATATATGTATTGACTAGCTAATTGAGCAAAGACTATTATCCAATATAGTCTTGAGAATAGTTTCTTTGTTTTAAAAAGTTATAGTAATTGTTTTTTTTTTAAAAAAAAGAGTTATAGTAATAAAATATTATTTTAATAATTATAATTTATAATTATTTCTTTTATTTATTGAATTATATTTCATTATACTAAATTTTATTTTTTAAAAAATATTGACAAAACCATAAATGGAAATGTTTTGACTATTATCCATTGAGAAAGGACTATTATATTATCCATTACGTTGAGGAAAGACTATTTTCCACGCAAAAGATACATAAATTAAAGTATAGTCATTACACTACATTTATTTTTATTTAAAAAAAAAAACTATTGAAAAGTGTAAACGAGTGTAAGTTTTTAGTATTATCCATTATTATATTGAATAAATAAGTTGTCATGGACTATAATCCAACACACAGTAACTCAAATTAAACCACTCACAACAAATAACAAAATTACGTGCACCGTTTAAATCACATACATTTAAGAGATCATATGATGAAATGAATTTAATTGACGTGATAACCAAACATATTTATGCTTAAGTTTCATTTCTACTAATTTTGGAGAGAGTGAATCTTGATAGAACTAGGAAATGAAGAAATCTTAGTTGTGGCCTTGTGGGCAATGAATTGAAGTAATTAATCTTATAGTACTTTGGGACATGATAATTTTTTTTGATTCATGAGATGATTTCATATAAAACCAGCTGCTATATTTATGTTTTATTTTTATTTTTGGAGATTAGATCTTGTAAGTCAAACAAATTACAGATGCTATATATAGTCTTTCAATTTGTTGTTGTCAATATTTGATTTATGATCTAATTAATAAACTTTTGGACCTTATAATATAAGTTATAAGTCATATATATATATATATATATATATATATATATATATATATATATACTAATTAAATACACCGTTTTTACACTTCTAGTACAACGTTGATGATGTCCGGTAAAAAAAAAAAAAATATATATATATATATATATATATATATATATATATATATATATATATATATAATGCCAATAAAATTAAGCACAATACAATAATATATAACAAAACATCAATTAAAAATTTGAATAAATTTTATTAATGGAAACATAAGATGGCCTCCCATCTTGAAGGCAGTACATATATAATATAATGAGTATGACATGTTTGGGAAAAACAGAGTGACGACACCTTGGATCTTATTCATGCACGGCGTTACGAACATCAAACGACACAACACATACATACGACCACAAATGAAGCATTAATTGTGAATAATAATAATATTGTAATATTCTTTTTAATTTGATGACCCCCTCCCTGCAGGATTTCATGCATTATGTATTGCATGCAAAGCATACTTAGTATAGGCGGCTTAGCAGGTGAAGCCATTTGGAAGCTGGCGGCCACAGTTGTTGAGGACCAGACTGAGGGAAAGCGGCACGTTAAGGTTTATTCCTAGAATGTTGGCTCGTATCGCCGTGCACAGACACACCGCCGCCTCCAGATCCGCCAGCCCGGCGATCAAGCTGCAGCACGGCAGCGTTGGTGGAGTTCCGATCACCACTCCCACCAGTCCTCCCAGTAAATTTGCACACACTCCCAACTTCAAAGCATCCCTTGGGCACCGTCCGGCTCCTCCTCCGCCGCCGCCACCACCATTTCCTCCTCCGTTCCCTCCACCATTACCTCCTCCGTTTCCACCGCCGCCATTTCCGCCTCCGTTGCCGCCACCACCATTTCCTCCTCCGTTCCCTCCACCATTACCTCCTCCGTTTCCACCACCGCCATTTCCGCCTCCGTTGCCGCCGCCACCATTTCCACCACCGTTGCCGCCGCCGTGGCGAGGAGGAGGGATAGCAGGGTACCCAGGACAAGTGTTACAAGCTTGGGTTTCAGTGATCAGAACAAAGAAAAGAAGGTTGAGGGCAAGGAAAATGGTGGCTGGAAATTTAGGGTTTGAAGCCATTTCAAGAATCTAATCTTAATCTGAAGAAGAAATGATTAGTGAGTTGATTGAACTCTCTCCTGCCAAAGCTACATATTTATACTGTCACAACAAGTAGTTAATAACTAATTTAAAAAAAAAAAAAAAACATAATCTATATAATACAATTTTTCTAATTTTAATTACGTTGTTGAGCTGTCTGCGGGCCACCAAGCCAATTAAACTCATACACGGCAGCACAAAACATATCTACTTACAGAAATGATTGTTATGATTTTTTTCATGACTTCTACAAAATTTTGGAATCATTTTGTTCATTACCTTAAAATGATTACAACATTAATATCCTCTCACTTCCATTATCAATCCAAACTTCTTGTGAATTTTAAGAAGAATACAACTTTTCATATGCAAGACTATGGATGTATCTATTAATATAATTGAATTATATAAACGTCATGTTTTTTATTTGTTTTCATGATTCAATCTATCATCGATCTAATAAAGCTTGGCCATTCCGAGTTATAATGCTATAAGTTTAATTTCAATTATCCTTTATCATCAAATTAAAGTATGAAGTTTTGTATTCTTTACATTATATTTTGTGTGTGTTGTTTATTATTGAATCTCAAACATAGTAAAAGATTCCCTAAATTATGGTGTGACAAAAATATACCCAAATTACTATATTTCTCATAAATAAGAAATCACGTCTTAGCTAGAAACTCATGTTAAATACTATATGCTGAAGCTTATCCCTTGAAAGGGAACGGCCATTGAACTCCACAGCCTAACCCATCATATATATTTCTTCAAAAATCACTCATTACATATCATTATTGTGGTGAGATAAACTAACTTACTACGGAGTAGTAGTTAATGAAAATTTTTAAACAAATCATTTTTTACGACTTACATTATGTAATGTCACGTCAATGAGTCCTATATTTGTTGTCTAATAAGTAATAACCACATGTCTCCTCATCCAATCAACTAGCAATCACACACTCGGACTAATCTTATTCGTGTTGAGTAAAATATCAAGTTTTAAAAGTAACTGCATTTTCAAGCCTGGAACTTAAGACCTATATCATCTCATCCACACTATGAGTCTTTTCCCATTTTTATATTTTTTTTTTTGTTGAAATAGAGTCTTTTCCCATATTGAAATACAAATTAATAGACAAGTTTATTTTTTCTTCATTTTAAGTGCTTAAGCCTGCATTATGGAGCAACCTAACATTGAACAGTAAATATGTCCGTGAGCCATACAATCCAGATTCCGTTTGGGGAAATATCACGTCACGTGGGGCCACGCTGTATCAACGGACCAGATTCATTGGCTCCACCGACCATTCGTCATGGTTCCAGATCAACGGTACGACGTTAATGGTGCCTGGACTGGTTCTGCCACCATCCTTCCCGACGGTCGGATCGTGATGCTCTACGCCGGCGACACCAATGACTACGTTCAGGTCCAGAATCTTGCGTATCCGGCCAACTTATCGGATCCTCTGCTCGTTGACTGGGTCAAGTATCCGAATAATCCGGTGATATTCCCATATATATTGAAATATACAAATTAATAAATAATTATGCCTGTTTGGGGTCTCCCCCCTCCAATATGAAAAAAAAATAAAAAAATGCCTGCATTATGGAGCTACTTGAACAGTAACATATGCCCGTGAGTCCGTGACCCATAGAGTACCACTTTAAGCAGATCAATGCGTGACAAGCATTTTCCTTAAAATATAAGCAATTCTGCATTATTGAAAGTTGACTCTCTTTGCAATTTTTGCTATTTGTGGTTATTATGCTCTCCATAGCTCTGATACACCTCATTTCAGCACTACTAGCTACAGACCCACAGTATCCAATCCCGTAATGTTTGATAACATAGTTAGCTTATTAGTCAATTTTGCTTTATTTGATCATTATTAACCGTTTGATTTTGTTAAACAGTCAATATGAGTGTTTGATTAATTAACTTTCGGTAACAATTTATTACTTCAAAATACTAAAATTCAAAAAGCTAGTCAAAGTAGCCTTTTTTATAAGTTTTTTGAGAAAGTCATTTTGCATGTAATCAACTATCAGCTAACAACTAATTTACCAAACACTTTTATACAATCGGTTAATGTTATCAACTAATCAAACTCACTAAGTCAATCAGCTATAAGCTATTTACCAAACACTCACATAGTCAATCTAATAATATCACCAAATATTTAATTTTCATATGTGGAATTGTGGATATTGCAGTGTGTAAAGCTAGAAATATTAGAACAAATGGATAATGAAATATCAAGATCGGATCAATAGTTCAAACTAATATAATATATAGATCCAAATATAAAATATAGTTGCCATGAAAGGAATGATCGTATGGGTAGAGCATGATAAGGTCATAATAAGTTTAATTTTTGTCAACTCCTTTTCAATCATACTCATTACATATGGTCTTTTTAGTACAGATAATGACGGTGATTTTTCTTTATCATTTTATATATAGTTGTGGGTGGCATGCATGTGCATTCTTATATGGGAAATTTATATTTGGGCACAAAATTTTGTATACAAACATTAATGTTATGATGTAAATACATTAACTTTTTATAGTATTTGTCAATCTATCACTTCTGAAAGTTATTTTTCCTCACCCATAGTCGCCATAGATAATAGAATCGTGTGAAATGTTTGTACTTTTTTTTTCTTGTGGTATGATTCAACTAATCAATCAACTTCAAATAATTATGTAAACATGTGCATATATATTTAAATTAGTTTTGTTACCAACATTATTTAATTTTGTTAGTGAACTGGTAAATTGATTTTAAAAATAAAATAAAATACATTACAATGTATAAAATTATGTAGCTAGGCATGTTTTGGCTCATGTGGGAAGAGGTTGACTCGTTTAAGCATAAAATTGAGAGTTCATCATTGCACCAATGCTATTTTTCCTTGCTCAATATAATGATAATTAATTAAGTGTTAATGATGAATTTTTGTTGATGAGCCTATTAGTAATTGTCTTCCAAACGTAATTATGCATGCCCATCCTATGGACGAGTAAGCATTATGGCAAGATTAAGACTTTACAATGATGGCCTAGGCAAACCCAATGACGTTATACAATAAAACTCGTAATAATTAAGGACTTAAAACATTTCTAATATGAGAAAACTAATTGAGTTTAGTGTCAACAAATCTATTGTTAATACCCTAATTGAGTCATATGGATGATTAAGCATTATGTCCAGATTATGCCATTGTCATCATGGCATGGGCCGATCCAATGACGTTACACAATAGAACTCATAATAATTAAGGACTTACACTTAAAAAAAAAAAAAAAAATCCAGTCCAATGTTAACGAGAAAAATGATACCATGGACCATGGTCTACCTTACATTGTAGACCCTGATTCAAAAATAACTTTCAGATTCTGTATTTAGAGTTGACACATTTTGTACCTGCAGTTGATAGTTTCTGTACCTGTAGCTATTATATTATGTGTCAGGATTATCAAGTTAAGTTATTTGTTTACATGTACAGAAACTGTTAACTGTAGATACATAATGTGTTAACTTTTTTTTTTTTTTGGTGAGTACATAATGGCCCTGTTTGGTAAAATGGCTGTTAGTTGATAGCTGTTAACTGTTAGCTGATTGTGTTAATTAGAGGGTATAAATAGTTGATAACATTAGCTGATTGTAGAAAAGTGTTTGGTAAATTAGCTGTTAGCTGATAGATGTTTCGTATAATTTCTTTTCTCAAAAAGCTAATTGAAAAAGTTGCTTGGAGTAGCTTTTTGAATTTTAGCCTTTTGGAATTGCAAAAAGATAATTAACCAAACATTTATATTGATATTTTAACTAAATCAAACAATTAATAGTGGTCAAATAAGCCAAAATTGGCCTATAGGCCAATTTTTTACCAAACAAGGCCAATGTGTTAACTGAAAGTACATAATTCTCGTATCAAAGTTCACAATGCAATATGAACCATGGTCCATGGTATAACAATTGTGTTAACAAATTCATTATTAATTCGCTACTAGACTCCATCAATCATTATACTATCAAATAATGTACATTCAATACACAAATAATGTATTGTTAGTATATTAAAAAAAAGTATATCCATATTCAAAGAAAAATACATTATTTGAGTACTAAAAATACATTATTTTGTATAATATACATTTAATATATAAATAATGTACTTTTAATATATTGCAAATATATTTTTATTATGGTCCACACAGTATTACATAGACCATGATCTACACAATAATTTACCTAGGCCCCTTTTATCTCAAATCGCATTAATTAAATATCTAATAAATTGGATTTATTTCGAAGTTTGGGATTGACTTTTACATACAATGACAGCCAAGACAATTGTTTATTTGTGTTTATAATTTGTTTAATTATAAAGAAACAAGGTTTTCAAAAAAAAAAAAAAAAAAAGATATATGTATGAATAGAAGAATCATTAACACTTAATTAATTATCATTATATTGACGAAGAAAAAATAGCATTCGAACAGACGGTACAGTGTACCTAGTCTAGACTCTAGACTCCAACCAAAATTCAACTATGTACTGTCAATCGTTACCACATCTCGTGAGGTAACTGAACATTAATTGAATTAATTCTAAAGTCAACTTTTCAAATGATGTTGTGTCATACACACGTTTTTTTTTTTTTTTTTTTTTTCATGAGCATTTGGGAGAATGTAAATCATGGTAACTCAACTACAACTAAATATAAATCACAGAGGCTAGACTTTTCCAATCCTTGATCATTCTGTCCATATTTCACCTCTATAACCAGTTGAGCTGCCCATGCGAGCGTGTGATTTGAATTCTTAATCTTATGCTTAAACGACTCAACCTCCTCCGACATGAGCCAAATCATGCCTAGCTAGCTACATAATTTTATACATTGTATTGTATTTTATCTAAATGTTGTTTAATTTTTACGTAATTTGTTTAATTATGATACACTTTTATGAATGGTTTATATATATAGACTATAGAGTCGCATTCAGGTGTGAACGGTCGCTCAGGAGCG